CCTCCCGTCCCTGGCACACACCGGATGTCTCTGTGTCCGTCCACTTCTCCTCTGCGTGCCCCTTTGCCTTCTTCTCCTGAGTCCTCTATTCCTTCTCTTGCCGACCCGGAGTCGGACTCTCTTCGTGCTGCCAGTCCTACTGTCACGCGTCTCCTTGCTACTGTCGTCACTGACCCTTCCTTTGAGTCCACTGCTGCGTCTGCCCTAGTTGCTGAGCTCGTCGACTTTGCAGCTCGCTGTCGTCTAGACTGCGCTGCTAGTCTTGTTGCTCAGTCTGAGCCTGTCTGTCCTCCGTCCGTCGGGGGTGAGTGTGCCCTTGGCACGGACGTCCTTGAGGACAGGCAGGAGGAGTTCTAGTGTTTGGCTGCTGCTTCACCTCATCTCGTGTCCGTACTGCTTACCCCCGAGGGAGACCCGGATGCACTTGACATCCCGACTCCGCACTCTTACGCGGAGGCGATAGAAGGTCCCTACTCCTCTAAGTGGCAGTCAGCCATGGACGCAGAGATGGCTTCCTGGAAGTCCACAGGCACCTACGTTGACGATGTTCCCCCTCCTGGGGCGAACATCGTCAGTGGCATGTGGATTTTCAGGGTGAAGCGGCCGCCGGGTTCTCCGCCTGTCTTCAAGGCGCGTTACGTGGCTCGTGGCTTCAGTCAGCGGCAGGGAGTTGACTACTTTCAGACCTTCTCCCCTACCCCAAAGATGACCACTCTTCGGGTACTGCTGACGTAGCTGCTCACCGTGACTACGAGCTACACTCTCTTGACTTCAGCACTGCTTTCTTGCAGGGCAGCCTGCACGAGGAGATCTGGCTGCGCCGCCCACCTGGCTTCACTGGGTCTTTTCCTCCTGGCACCCAGTGGAGCCTCCGGCGGCCAGACTACGGTCTCCGCCAGGCACCGCGTGAGTGGCACGACACACTGAGGACTACACTTGCGGCTCTTGGGTTTGCTCCCTCTACTTCCGACCCGTCGCTGTTTCTGCGCACTGACACTTGTTTGCCTCCGTTCTACATCCTCGTGTACGTCAACGACTTGGTCTTTGCCACAGTTGACACTGCTAGACTCGCCCACGTGAAGTCCGAGCTGCGGAAGAGACACACGTGCACAGACCTGGGTGAACTGCGCAGCTAGCTTGGCTTGCAGATCACCTGGGACAGAGCACGCTGCACCATTACCCTGACTCAGTCACACATGGTGCAGCAGGTCCTTCAGCGCTTCGGCTTCAAGTACTCCTCGCCTCAGGCCACTCCTCTGCCTACTCGCCACTCACTCTCAGCTGTGCCTTCGGATGAGTCCGTAGAGTCCAGTGGCCCGTATCTAGAGCTTGTTGGCTGCCCCATGTACCTGATGACCTGCACACGACCTGACCTTGCATACCCTCTTAGCATTCTCGCACGCTATGTTGCTCATGGGAGACACAGACCGGAGCACATGGCTGCAGCGAAGAGGGTGTTGCGCTACTTGTGCAGTACGTCGGGCATGGGGCTTGTGCTTGGAGGGCAGAGTCCAGTGGTCCTCACTGGGCACGAAGACGCTTCTTGGGCTGACGACGAGGCTACGCAACGGTCGTCACAGGGTTACACCTTCAGCCTTGGTTCCGGCTCTGTTTCGTGGCGGGCTACCCGCTCGTCTTCTGTTCTCGGCTCCAGTTGTGAGGCTGAGATCTACGCAGGGGCCATGGCTGCACAGGAGCTTCACTGGCTCACCTACCTGCTGACTGACCTCGGAGAGCCGCCTCGTTCTCCTCCAGTGCTGTACGTAGACAACAAGGCCATGCTGGCCTTGTGTCGAGAGCAGAGGCTGGAGCACAGAACAAAGCACATTGCTCTTCGCTACTTCCTTGCTCGTGAGCTACAACAGCGTGGTCAGCTGCGGCTTACGTACGTGGCCTCTGAGGCCAACACTGCTGATATCTTCACCAAGGCACTTGCGCCTTGTGATCATCAGCGTTTCTGTACTCAGCTGGGTCTTGTGCCTACCTTGCCTCACTTGCTCACCCCTTGACCTTGTTTGTACTGTTACATATATATATACACGTAGTCTTGCTTGTCTAGCCTTATATATATATGTAATCCTGCATGTGAACTGGCCTTGTGGCCTTGAACTTGTGCTCGGAATGTGTGGTGACTTTGTGATCCACCCTGAGCTTGCTTTGCTTTGCTTTGCTTGACTTGTCTCGTGACCCCTTGTTCTCCCCCACTTTGCCTATAGGGGTGTGTCAGATTTATATGACTTAGCTACTGTAGGCTATAGTGGGGTAGCACATATGGGGTACAGCTTTCTAGGGTTTGTACTTGTACCCAATTTTCCCTTAGTCATTCTCATTCCCGTTTCGGTTTTCTCAGGTAGAAGATAGACATGACGTTGTTTTCACGTGATGGTATTTTCACCTCGCGGTGCCAACCTGGAACCGCATACTAGAGTAGGTGCTTGCACGTTCTCCTCGAACAACGTTCTTCATGGACAATGTTCTCGTAGAACGTTATCGCACACGTCACTATGTTTCTTATAAGGTTCATGCAATATCTGTTGTAATCTAACAATTAATCATTTTTTTCCTCCTGTTACTGCATATCGAGATATAGTTCATGATTCCCAGTATTCGGTCACAAACAAGTCCGTACACAAAAAACTTGCACCTTTCGTTCAAATCGTACAACTCCGCGCCTAGGCTCTCCCATAATCGCCTATTCTCAGCAGCTAGTGCTACGCTGGCAGCGAGATTCTGGCTAGTCCCGAAGCATAGGCTGACTCTGTTGGGCCAGCAGTGCGAGGTTTGGTGAAACAGTGCGCGCGAAATTGGCGAAGCCCCGTTAATAGTAACGGGCGAAGCCCCGTTAGCAGTAACGGGCGAACAACATATGCTGTTGTACGCGATGTTGCTGGTCGCGGTAAGGAATGTCGAGAAAATTCCTTTCGTTTGTAAATAAGTCTGGAGTACACACGATGCTCAACCCCTGCGCGCGAATTTGCCTTTCTCCAGATGAAAAGTTTGCACCCGTGTTGTTTTTACCAGCCATACATTACAAGCCCCTCAAGCAAGTTGCAGTGGTTATGAACCAATACAAACCACGGAAACCGAAGTCAAACAGAAGAGACCGAAGTCAAACTGTCAACGAGGAGTTACATTTTTTATAAGTTCTTTTTCGCTTGGTGCGACGTTGACGAAATTTGCGAAATGCCTAGAAACATTAAAAGCCCTCTTTACAAGGCGACCTTGGGTTAGTCAAACGAGCATTGTGTGTATGCGTGATTTCGAAGGGGGAAGAACTGTGGGAGATTTCGGAGGGCTTGAAAGAACTGTTGGGAAGAACTGCCCTGCCCCCATCACCCTGGATCTCGGCAGGCTTGAAAGAAGCTGCGCTGCGAGATCTGTCGGTGGGGTTCGGGGACACGCTTCGCAAACAGACGAGTAACCACAATCCGTTTCGCAGTGCTAGCTTATTTGGGACTTCGTCTATCCGGCCCACGTTCCAAGATTTTCGCACACGGTAGCCAACCACGAACCAATCACCATGGAGCAGCACCTCCAGAAACTGACTTCCACTGTTGGGAAACCGACAACCGCCGATAGCCTGATTCTCGTTTCTTCTACTGTATAGCAGGGCTGCCCGTTCAGGATGGGCAGCTAGGGGAGACACTTGCGCTGCGAGTTCCTCTCCTCACCACATCGCGGTCATGGAAAAGAAAACGGTGTACTGGCGGCGCAGCGTAACGCCGTGCAACAATCGTGCGGAATTCCACCATGGTGTAGGGGAGGGGGGGCTCCCTCACGGCAGGCGAGTTTGGGCGAGGGGCTGGAAGAAGGCTCTGCGAGGGACGTCTGTTTTTGCGATGGAATGTTTGATTTCGCTCAGCTATAAATTAATATCAACCGTGGTACATATTTATTGTACCGCGGAGAATAAAAAATGAACCGTACATTGCTCCTCGCCACCGTCGTTGTCCTCGTCCATCCCTTCAACTGATGTCCCACTTCGAAACGCCATTTCACCAACATGTTGCCCCTATTCCTACCTTGCTTCGGCGCCATTGACAAGCCCAACAGCACCATCGCCATTGAGACCAATTCCTCCTCCCTGTGACGCCTCTGCTGCTTCCCCCACAGCCGCTTTTTCCATTCGTGAACCCAGTCCGTTTCTTTCTCGTTTCCTATTTTTCTCAGCCTGCTCTAAGCATACAGCCCCCGAACCTTCACACTTATTTTCCTCGTTCACGTAGAGAGAGCGTATTAAGTACCCGCTACCACAGACCGTACGTGTGGACAGTACACGCTCCCAGACCCACTCCCCCAGCGCATCAGCCGAGAAAACCAGAAGCGTGCAGTGGTTTCTTCAGTCAACTCTCATGTTGGAAAAGGCCCGCCGTTTGCTCCGGCCGGAAAACACGCAACTAGCACAGCTCGTGCCAACACCACTTCCTACGAACAGCTAACAGCTTCTTTACCCTTGACTCCATCCGACTCGACTCGAGTCGTCTCACCTCTAACCTCCCAGCCATCCCACGCGATCGCGAGCTGACAGTCCAACCGCACCTAGAAGTTTCCTTCACTTGTAGAAACTCTTTTATCCTCTTCCTTTTCCTCGTGTCCTGTCGCCCAGGCCCGTTCCCACTCGAACCTCCCGTTTATTCCCCTCGCTGCCGGTCTTCCTTCCGCCCTGTTCTCGTGTAACCTGCGTTCTCGTGTGCCTGCCTGCCTGCCCGCCCTCCTGTCTTCTTCCCCGCCTTTCGCGCGGCGAGCCACCTCCCATGGCGTTCACTCACCGGCAAAGACGGCTCTCCCGCGAGTCCATGCGACGGGCCCTCGCCCTTCTCCTCCTCGCCCTCCTCGCCGGCGCCTCTTTCGCGAAGCAGAGTAACGACTTTTCGCAAGACGTCAAGAACGCGGTCGATAGCTCGTCGAGGCGAGCAAGGGACGCGATGAAGCGGTTAGGCAAAGACTCGCGGGCTATCCTAGACGCAAAATCAAATCTAATCTCGCTTGAAGCCTCTGCGATGAAACTCGTCAACGAGATTGTGTCGAGAACGGGGAAGAACATAACGAAGCCGCAAAAGGCGCTGACGAGCATCGTGCGCCGCGTAGTGGCCGCAGTGGACGTGCTTAAAAAGGCCGGGCTGTTCCGAGGCGGCGCGGAGGTGCAACCGAAAAAGTCCGAGCTCAACGCGACGGCGGACATGGCGGCTTTCCGCGCGATACAAGCACAGGAGATAAAGGAGGTTCTAGATATGCTATCTCCCAGCAAGGCCTTTGCTTCCGTTAAGGGCTCTAGCTCTTTTTCTAACTCTGCCTCTGGTTCTAACTCTAGCTTTATCTCTGACTTTGATTTTAACTCTAGCTCCGACACTGGCTCCGATTATAATTCTAGCTCTGGTTCTGCTTCTGGTTCTGGTTCTAGCGATAGCAGCAGCAAGAATCAGTTGAGAGCAACGGCTACAGTGGCTTCCCTTTCTAGCAGCCGAACCGGGCTTCGGCGGGCGAAGCCGGCGGCGCCGGAGCCGTGCAACGGGTGGATCTGCATCGACATCAGCATCACGGGGATCATCCTCGCGCTGAAAGCGTTCTTTCAGAACTTTCAGATCTTCTTTCAGGGCTTCATCTCGGGCTTCTTTCAGGGCTTCATCACGGGGTTCGTCCAGATTGCCGCGTTTCTTGCCGCCGCGTTCGAGGCCTTTTGTAAGTTTTGAAAGGGAGGGGGGAGGGAGAGGCGAGGGAGGGGGAAGGGAGGGGGGAGGGAGGGGGGAGGGAGGGGGGGGGGGAAGGGAGGGGGGAGGGAGGGGGGGGGGGGAAGGGAGGGGGGAGGGAGGGGGGGGGGAAGGGAGGGGGGAGGGAAGGAGGGAGGGAGGGGAGGGAGGGTCCGTTGGTGTGTGTTAGCACATTGATCCCTCTGCATGTAGCCGGAGTCGTGCAACGGGTGGATCTGCATCGACATCAGCATCACGGGGATCATCCTCGCGCTGAAAGGGTTCGTCACGGGGTTCGTCCAGATTGCCGCGTTTCTTGGCGCCGCGTTCGAGGCGTTTTGTGAGTGTTTTTGGTCGCAGGGATTGGTGCGACGAGGAGATGTGTTGGAGGGAGGGAAAGACGGAGGGAGGGGAAGCAGAAGAGGGAGGGAGACAGGGAGGCATGGAGGGAGGGAGGGACCCTCCGGTGTGTGTTTCCACATTGGTCCTTCAGCATGTGCCGTGCATGTGTTTCACCTTTCCACGTTCCCCAGGCGTTGCCCTATGCTCCTTTCAACCCGACCAAGCACCTTACCTTATCTAACCTGTGCCCTCTGTGTTTCTCTCTTCCCCTTCCACCTCTTCCTTCCCCTCCCCTCCCCTTCCCCTCCCTTCCCCTTCCGTCCCGCCCTCCCTCCTCCACTGCCTAACTCCTGCCCGCAGTCTTTGCGTTGTTCAGCTGTAAAGGCGCGACCACAATGCTCTTTCCCATGGATGCACTTGTGTGGGCCGGCGCACTCACAGTGCTGAGCGGGAAACAACTAGCAGACGTTGCAAATTACAACATGTTGGATGGCCTATACCCGTACGATATCATGCAAAGCGCAGGGTGGATGGCGAGATTCAAGACGCAGCTGCCCGACCAGACCGTGACGAAAGTTTTCGGGCAGGGTTCGCCGATGGTTGTGCTGATGGGACGCCTGGGTATCCCGTCGGTGGTTCTCTGGCCGAATTTCTATGTCGGGAGATCGCTGATTGTGCACATCGTCAGTACGTCGCTAGTGCCGACCTTAACCTCTTGAAGCGGAGAAGTCGAGTGGGGATGAGATTGAAGGGTAATCGGCAGCAGGAGCTTACGGTTCAGCAGGAGGTTTGCTGGTGGAGGTTCAGCAGGAGGATTCAGAAGAATCGATTGAAAAACAGGACGTTTACACGTACTAGTCAAGGTTTTAGTGGTACAGATACATGCTTTTACAGCATCGGGATGTTGGGTATGGTGGGTAAGGGAGAGGGTGGAGGAGGGGCTATAAGGGGGCCTATACGACATTTCTGTGCTGTGCTATGCATGTACAGTGAGCTACCGGAATGCTGTGATGTATAAATTGTGGCATAAAGCCACTGTACATTTAGAGCCCAGGGTCAGCATGGTAAGTTATCAAGTTATGTGGATTTGAAATACTGTATGCGAGATCCAGTCACGTGGTACTACGCACTCTCTTTATATTTACGTGAGAGCCTAGGCCGGTCATGAGTACTACTAGGCCATCAAGATATGTGTGAGCCAAACAGCGGGCCAACCTGAGCGAAGCTCGGTTCTGTTTTGCGATCGTGCACATCAGCCAATTAGGAGAGAGTATCCCTAGGCGTTGTCCCAGAGTCGCAAGAGTTCTGAGCAAAAAAGTAGGGTAACCCTGTTTTTGACGATTTCAAATTCAAGAATCTTGAACTTGAAAATTACCATGCTGTACCCGGGTTTTAACCTTTGGCGCTGGTGCTGTTGGTGGTGAGAATGTTCCCAACCACTTTTTGTTCAATTCAATAGCTCTGGTCTGGTCCACTACTTATCAGTTTTTTTCCCTGGAGGAATTTATGTAGTGCTGCCCATTTGAAATCGCAATCAAATTTTAATCATATAACAGCTATAGCAGTGAATTCCCTAGGAGTTGAAGCCTAACCAACACAGGACCAACAGATCACCCGTCCTACTGGGGTTGTGTGGTGGTGGTGTGCGGTGGGGGGAGAGGGAGTACAGTAAGACATGGTACGGTACTAACAAATGAAGCGGCCTCATCCAACTAACCCAGGCCAGATGACCACAGTCCTATCTGAAGCCAGTAGACGCAACCTCAGCAACACAACTCTACCAAATGACCATGTGATAAGCTGACATACTTGCAGAGTGGACGATGTATATGTCTTGCCAAATGGTGAAGCCTGAATGCGCGAAAAACTCGCTTCAAACCTTGCGCGACTGGGTCCGATGCCTCCAAGGTATCCGATTGTCAAATGTTGTAGCCTGTAGTGAGGTTTGTCTTAGGGGGTACAGAAGTTAGGGTTTGTCATATGTACCCCAACCAACATCAATGTTCACACCATTCCTCATTCTGACATGGTATCAGCTAGGTTAGGATCCTGTGGGATCCCGTTCCTCCGTTCTCCGTTCGTACCTCCCAAGCCTGATCCTACCTCTCGTTCGTACCAGTTCCGTTGTTACCGAGCCTAGCGCCCTTTCCCCCGTCGCTTAGCGCCCTTTCTCCCCGTCGCCTAGCGCCCCCCCCCCCCCCCCCCCCCCCCCGTCGCGTCGCGCCCTTTCCCCCCCCCCCGTCACGCCCTTTCCCCCCGTCGCGTCGCGCCCGTTCCCCCCGTCGCGTCGCGCCCGTTCCCCCCGTCGCGTCGTGCCCGCCTGTTCCCCCCCCGTCCCGTCGCCCTGTCCCGTCGCGTCGCCCTACCCCGTCCCGTCACCCTGTCCCGTCCCGTCGCCCTGTCCCGTCGCGTCGCCCTACCCCGTCGCGTCGCCCTGCCCCGTCCCGTCGCCCTGCCCCGTCGCGTCGCCCTGTCCCGTCGCGTCGCCCTGCCCCGTCGCGTCGCTCCCGCCCTTTCCCCCGTCGCGTCGCCCTGCCCTACGCCCTGGCCCGTCGCCCTGCCCTAAGCCCTGGCCCGTCGCCCTACCCTAGGCCCTGGCCCGTCGCCCTCCCTAAGTCCTGGCCCGTCGCCCTACCCTAGGCCCTGGCCCGTCGCCCTACCCTAGGCCCTGGCCCGTCGACCTACCCTAGGCCCTGGCCCGTTGCCCTACCCTACGTACTGGCCCGTCGCTCTAGCCCGCTCTTCCGCTGCGACTGAGTCCTCTTCCCCCCCGGTTGTTACTCGCCTGTTCGTTCGCTTTAGTCCTCACTATGGCGACTCCGCGAGTTCTTCGTTTCGACGCTGACGGTAGACCCCTTGACTTTTCCGTCTGGCTTCTTCGCGCTCGCCGTCTGTTAGAGAGTCAGGTCCAGGGGGGCGAGACCCTCTGGTCACACGCTACTGGTGACCTCCCTGAGCCCCCCGAGCCTACAGCTTTAGGCCCTGCTCCTGACGACGCTGCTACGGCTCGCTTTGCCCGTCAGCGCGCTGACCGGACGGCTTGGACGTCGCGTGACGCTGCGGCCTGCATCGCACTCAGCAGCCTCCTCCCTGAGTCCGAGGAGGTCCACTTTACTCAGGTTCGCACCGCTGCTGCGTACCTCACTGCGATTAAGGCCCGCTACTCTACTCCCGCTACTGTCTCTCTTGGCCGTCTTTTCCTCCCGTTCCTGTTTCCTGATCTTGCCTCGTTTGAGCGCTCTGCTGACTTGATCGCTCACCTCCGCTCGCTCGACGCTAGTTACCGCGCTGCTTGCATTGAGGCACAGCTTACACTGCTTCCTCCCCCCATGGCGATCACTGTCTATTTCATCGCCACTAGCCTCCCTGACCGCCTTGCCTCCGTTCGTGACGCGCTTCTGCTGAAGCACCCTAGTGAGCTGACTATCGAGGTCCTTGAGTCTGCACTCAAGGACGTCGAGAGCAACCTTCGTTCGGTAGCTGCCGCCTCTGGTACTGTGTCCCCCCCCACTCTTCCACGGGTGCACAGTCCCGCAGTTACCCACCTTCACTGCCTCTCTTGCCACTGCCGCTACTGACGCGACTGCGGCTGCTGTTACGACTGCGTCGCGGTCCCGCGGCAGGGGGGGCAAGAAAGGTGGTTCTGGTGGAGGTGGAGGCGGAGGTAGCGGAGGTAGTGGGGGTGCTGTTGCGACTGGGGGTGGTGGGAGTGCAGCGTCTGGAGAGACCCCTCGTGCAGCGGCTGGTGACTCCACTGCACCTGCTGGTGGCGGCGACCCCCGAGTTCGTCAGTCGCCTCCTGTACTGCCGGCCCCGCTAGGTGGAGCAGCGGCGTGGTACCAGGCTCAGCGTCAGCAGCACCTTCAGCAGCAGCAGCAGCCCCTTTCCTCCCAGCAGCCTCAGCAGCAGCAGCGTCAGCAGCTGGCTCCGGGGTCGGGGCTGCGTCAGCCCCAGCGCGGTGCGGCTTACCCTCCCTGCCCCTACCAGGTTCAGACAGGTCCTCGTCGGGGCCACCCTTGTGGCCGCTTTCACCCCCCTGGTCAGTGCTTTGCTCAGCTCACTGACACGGTCCGGTTGACCTACGAGGTTGGCGGTCCTGCTCCTGACTGGCTTCCTCTGGTTCAGCGCTACGGCTCCGCTCTGTGGGGCATGTCTGCTGAGCAGTTAGTTGATCTGATTAGTGCTCCTCATGCTATGTATCCTGTTGTTGACTCTAGTGTTTCTGACTCTGTTTACTCTGGTGTTGTTAGCTTAGGTGCTAGTCTTGCTCAGTTGCCTGTTGCTAGTGTAGGTACTTGTGTAGACTCTAGACCAGCGACTACCTCAGGGGACGCTTCGCTGTCGTTCACACTGGACTCTGGAGCCTCCCACTGCTTCTTCCGGGACAGCACGACACTTACACCACTTCCTGCGCCTGTTTCTGTAGCGTTGGCTGATCCCACTACGGGACCAGTCACTGCCCGTCACACTACCACTTTACCGTGTCCTGCTGCTCCCTCCGGGTCTCTCATTGGGTTTCACGTCCCCTCGTTCTCCCGGAACTTGGTGGGCGTGCGACCCCTCGTGAGTCAGCACGTGGGTGTGTGGTTTGAGCCTTCTGGAGAGACTGCGGTGTGTGTTGACGGAGACTCTTACCAGCCTCTTGCTACCTTTACTGCTGAGCCAGGCTCGGGTCTCTACACTCTTCACACTGGCCCGCGTGCGCCGCAGCAGCAGCCGCAGCAGCAGCAGCAGCCGCAGCCGCAGCAGCAGCAGCAGCAGCACCAGCGGCCGCACCAGCAGCCCCCCCTACTGCCACTGCCCCCGGTTCCCCCCCCCGTTCGGGTCCCCGCGTCTCACCAGGTTGCTACGTCCCCCCAGGTGTCTGTGTCGTGTCAGGTTCCTACGTCTGTTCCAGTCGCTGCGTCGTGCTCCTGCCGGTCGCTTGCCCACCCCACCGTTCTGTGGCACCACCGGATGGGGCACCCGTCCCTTCCACGTCTGCGCGCTATGTCTAGTCAGCGTCTTGTCCTAGGCCTCCCACGTGTCTTGCCGTCGCTGCCGCCTTCGCCTGCGCCGCCGTGTCGTCCCTGCGTCAAGGGTAGGCTGCGCGCCGCCCCTCACTCCTCCTCCCTTCGTCCGGCCACCGAGCCTTTTGAGACGCTTCACTTGGACGTCTGGGGCCCCGCCCCTCGTCTAGGCCCTGAGCGTGAGCGTTACTTTCTGGTGGTCGTTGACGACTTCTCCCGCTACACCACAGTGTTCCCTCTGGCGAAGAAGTCTGAGGTGACTTCTACGCTGATCAGGTGGTTGCTCACCACCGAGGACACTCGTGGTCGTCGTGTCAGCTGTCTCCACTCCGACCGTGGGGGTGAGTTTCGCTCCGGCATTCTCGCTGGATTCTGTCGCGAGCAGGGCATTCGTCAGTCCTGGACGCTTCCAGAGTCCCCACAGCAGAATGGGGTTGCTGAGCGCCGCATAGGCCTGGTCATGGAGATCGCCCGCACCTCCCTGACTCACGCCTGTGCCCCCCATTTTCTGTGGCCCTACGCGGTCAGGTACGCCGCGCACCAGCTGAACCTCTGGCCACGTGTCTCTCGACCAGAGGTTTCACCGACCAGTCTTTGGACAGGGTCCCCTGGTGTTGCGTCGCGGTTTCGTGTCTGGGGGTGCTTGGCTCTTGTCCGCGACACCTCCGCGGACAAGCTCTCGCCTCGTGCCGTCCCCTGTGTCTTCCTTG